ATATATATTTGTTATGAAACTTTATATGTTATGAAACTAGAAATAATATTTCTAAAGGCATGATGCTACAAAAGCAGCTTAACTGCATGAAATAAGTTTGGTGGTGAACATACATAATATACTTTTCTTCCATTTTCTCCACAACAAAAACACATAATACTTATGAGATACGTTTGGCTGAAAGAGAATGACAGGCCCAAGGTCACCCAACTACGGTAGCTTTCATGCCTAAGGTGGAACTAGAACTCACAGTGTCTTGGTTTTTAGACCAGCACCACTGAACAGTCATATTGATCAGTCAACAATAGTAATGTATTTGTAAAAATAATCTCTATATCCTGAGCAGTCCACTAAAAGAGGTGCAATATTTCTACTATATAAAACAGCCTATTCAAAAACACAGGACTTCAGGATTCTTCTGTATTTGACTTGCAGGGGCATAACCAATTGTTATAAAGGACATTTTGGAATTTTCCTCAACTAAAGTGAGAATCATGAATCAAGAACATATATGTTGTAGAAAATGAAAATATTGTTGAAAAAGGCTCTCTGAAATTTAAAAAAAAAAGTTAAAATATTGGCTCATAATTGAATGGTCTTCATTGTCTATACATTCATATTTAGAATATGGTATACAAATGTTATGAATTTAGAACAGAAAGCAAATATTATAAATAGAGACCTGGGAAGGTGATCCCACAGCAGGATTATAGTAGTTGAACTTTATTAACTGTGCAAAAGGAACAGAAGATCCAGAAAATGAGGGATTGCCTTATATGTTAAAAATACCTTTTCTTGCTAAAAAATCCACCAAATTAACTCAACAATGCTGCACAAAATGAAAAAATAAATGAAGAGAGTATTATTGTTGGTATCTGCTACTGCTGCTGAACCAAAGAGAAGACATGCATTACATCTTCCAAAACAAAGTGAAGGCGATCCAGTTTTGTTTAGTGGTTAAGGCACCTGGCTAGAAGCCAGCAGATTGTGAATTCTAGTCCGATTTAAGGGATGAAAGCCAGCAGGTGACTTTGTCCCGGTCACTCTCAACTCAGCGCACCAGACAAAGTTGTACTAGGGAAAATAGTAGGAAGAAAGTGCATTGGGTATGTTTGCTGCTTTGAGTTATTCATAAAAAAATAAAGGTGGGATAAAAATAAAGTCATACTTATGGGGGACATTAATTTGCTTAATAATGATTAGAAGACAAACTCTTGCAAGTATGATCTTTCTGACCTGTCATGCTGAAAATTTTCTCCTGTAGACAATGGAGGGATGGACAAGAGAACCAGCTAGTGTTGACTTAGTCAGTAGGAAGCAGATTTGGGGAAGTGATCATGTACAGCTGAAGGTATAGTCAAACACAACCCTTGGAGTTAAACTCCCCTTCCCTTTGTTTTATTGATCTCAGCAATAAGAAGTATTTCATGAAAGAGAGTTTCAGAGGAAAAAAGAAATGGATGAGACTTCCTAGAGAAAGAAATACTAAAAACAGCTGTAAATAATTCCAATGAGGGAAAGAAGAAGACAGCAGACAAAGTCAGTATGACTGCACAAAAACCTTAATGAAAATCTGAGAACAGAAGACGATCCATAAAAAACATGCCAAGAGGTCCAATAGAACCAGAATGGTCATGTTCTTTCTCCTCACCATAATTCAGTTTCTAACATAGTCCATCTACCAAAACAACCCAAACTGTACCTTTATTCTAGCATAAGGCTGACTGAATAATTCCAGATAATCAGAATCAGAAAATGCACCTAGAGCTTCAAGATTACCACTTTCTCAATTACCAGATCAGCATGGGAATCTTTGTGTCCTTACCCCTTTGTCAAATGTGGCAAAGAACCTGACATAAGGCTGGAAGTGTTCAGCTGCTTCTTCAAATGCTTTGTAATCTGAGAAGGAAGAAAAAGGAAAAAGAATCACATTTTGTTTAAATTAAGATCAATACAATACTTGGTATCACTGTAGCCCATATACTAGCTATCACTCATTGTGAAATATTGTCAAAAATATTTGTTGTTGTTGTTAGTTGCGAAGTCGTGTCCGACCCATCACAACCCCATGGACAATGTGCATGTGATATGCACGTGCCAGAACCCAGAAGAGAGCGGCTGGCCACGCATGTGTATACACCGGACCAGCTGGCCAGTGCGTAGGTGCACAACAGGACCCAGAAGTGCAGCTGGCAATGGCGCGTGTGCCCACAGAGACGGCTCTGGGTGCCATCTTGCAGAGCCCACTCTGTACGCGGGCCGACACCAGTTGCACTTCTGGTTTTCTGTTGTGCGCATGCTTTCCATCATGCGCATGTGACCTGGACCAGCTGGCGGGACCGCATGCACGTGACGAAGCTTGGAAGTACAGCTGGCAACCACACACATGTGCACTGGCGAGCTGCTCTCTTCTGTGTTTTGGTGCTCTGGTCCGTGCCAAAAAGGTTAACCATCACTGCTCTAACCTAATGAAGAGAAGAATTAGGGGTGACGTGATAGTTGTCTTCCAATACATAGGAGGCTGCCATTGAGAAGTAGGGGGTTGACTTATTCTCCAAAGTTCCTGATCTGTCAATATCTTTCATCTAGTGGCTGCATGCCCACTTCCATCTGGTCCCTGAGTCATTCTGCTTTGGGTTCCTATTTTTATACTTGTACTGTATTTCCAATCTAGTGGAGAGAATCACACTTCAGTCTGTTTTTTCTTAATATTGCCACACAGAAAGTACCTCATTTCTAATTCAGTATATACAGAATCACAGTCTCAGAGACCTAAATAAGAGTGGAGTACAGGTAGTCCTCAACTTATGACCACAATTGAGCCAAAAATTGTGCAACTGTCCTAAATATGAACCAGATGCCAAGTATCTGAACTTTGATCACATGATCATGGGGATGCTGCAAAGGTCGTAACAGTGAAAAACGGGCATAAGTCACATTTTCCAGTGCCATTGTAACTTTGAACAGTCACTAAACTGAACTGTTGTAAGTCAAGGACTATCTGTAGCAGAGCACATTGCTTTGTAATGCAAGGAGCTGTTCAAACCTTGGATGAGTGTGTTGAGGATTGGGCAAGGACAGAAAACATATACCTACTTTGAACATCTATACTATTCTACGCAGGGCTACACACAGTGTATGTTGTAAAGAATGTGCAAATGTTTCAAGAAAGATATCAATTCATTTCCAGCAAAGAAAAATAATAATACTGCTTTCCAGCTCCCTTCAGCTTCCACCATGACTTAGAACGCACGTTCTGAATCTTCTCCTTTGAAGTAGCCAATAAGTTTGATATCCTCCTCCATGTGGTCAAAGGCTTGAAGTTCCAGTTTGCTGTTAATGATTTCTACAGGATCTTCCATCAGCTGTCAGGAAGAAAGAATTTTGACAGGAACAACTTAACACAAAGGCAGTGATGGAAAACTTCATGCTGAATCCAAGGTTAATCATGGAATGTTGTAGTCTCAGTGTCTATGTCACATTACTGTTGTCACCAAAGAGAACATGAACAGAAACTTTTTAAAAACTCACTATCACAGCATAAGGGTCAGTGGCTCAGATAGCTTGTACATTTACCTTATATAATCAGAGATAAATCCACCAGTGACCAAGTTGCCCTTCAACATTTTTGTATGTTTTAAAGAGGAGGCAATTTATGTTACAAGGTAGTTTTGCCATTTAAAAAGTGGACTTGACTATCAATTTGGGGATCTATAAAAATAGACTGTAGTGGAATGGACAACCCTTGAAATACTGAGTCCTTGAAAAATTGAAATACTAGAACTTCTGTTTTAAAAATGTGAAATCAAGCGACTGAAGTTGATGTTCCTTATGAATTTATTGGTAAAATTAGTTTGGGCCCATCTAAAAGTAGAATTTTGATAATTATTCTTTATAATAGATACCATTAGTTTTGAATGGAAATAATGTTTGTTTCTTTAATTTAAAATATATGATTTGCATTCCACTATATTATTTGTGTTCCTTGGCAAAAGAACATCCCTGTAACTAGCATTAATGATAATATATTATTTCTACTGGAAAACAGGATGAACCTACATCCAATAGGAATTCAACCAAGACATCTGCTGACATTTGCCCATCAAACTCTATTATATGATCCTCCTTAAAGACATATAGGCTTCCTTCTTCATCCAAACCTAGAAAAAAGACAAAAATGCAAATAAATACATGGATCAGTGCTGCAGTCTGAGTGAAGGATAACACAAGTCACTTTTCCTACGTAAGATACAACTAAATTTTTAAGCTCACTATGAGTTCTGAACAGTGGTGGAATTCAAATAATTTAACAACTGGTTCTCTGCTCTAATGACTGGCTGGCTAGGAATGCCTGGGTGGTCATGTGACTGGGTGGGCCAACTCAACATCACTCACGTCAAGGGCCGCCTCTCCTCTCCTCGCCTGGCCTCTCCTCACCCCTTCCCTCCCAGCCACTCCTTGCCTTGCTTGCCAGATACTTACTCTTAGGCTTATTGAAGTCAAAACTAGCACCTGCCACAATGATAAATCTGTATTTTTATCCAGGCAAAACTAAACAGAAGCAATATAAGAATAATTGAGAATATTTTACCTGAAATGGCATTAAGTTTGTGGGGAAAGGCAATAGAATGCAATTGAATGGAAGACAGGAATTCCGAGAGAGCAAATGCTCATCAAGGACAAAGGAGAGACTGGTTTGGTAAATATTTATAAGCTTTTTGTGAACTCCCTCATGTTAATTTTTTGTTAAGGTTGGGCTAGTAATCTGGAGGGGGAGTTAAGGTGGAATCTGAAAGTTGTTTAAACTTTTTAAATAAAGACTATACATTGCAGGCAGTTCTATATAACTGCTGGCTTTAGTTTCTGACAGACTATAAAACTAACATGCACTCATTTCTGCTTAATTTGCAAATAATCCTGTATGTACATGCAGAGTCGGTAGAGACAGCAGAGGCCACAGAATTCTATTTATGTTGTGCATTCATTCTCTTTTCAATTTTTTAATCCTGCTTTATGATTCTTACAAATAATAGCAATAGCAATAGCAATAGCAGTAGACTTATAT